GCCGGCACCGACACCCCGAGCCGGGCCCGAGCCCCTCGATCCGCCCCGAGCCCCCGTTCCAGCCCCAAGCCCCGTCCCACGCGCCCCGAGCCCCTCCGTCCATCCCGAGCCGGAGAGGAGCCGCGCAGCCGGACACAATTTCCTTTATTCCTTAAATAAAAGGGGAAGCCGCCGGGGCGGTTGGCACAGCAGCGGGTGGGGACAAGGGGGGCCCAGTGCAGGAGGGGGCTGCGGCCCCCGCGCCCCCAGGATGGCAGCGCCCGCTCCGGYGGGAGCAGCGGGAAGAGCCGGAGCCGCGGGGCCGGCGCATCCCGGCCCGTCGGAGCAAGCCCCGTGGGGACACGGAGAGCCGCCTGGCGCAGGGGCCGGCCCCGCCGCGGGGCACGGGGGAGCAAAGGCTGCCAGGAGTCGCGCGAGTCCCGGGYGCCGCGGGAGCGAGCGGGACATGGGGAGCCCCGCGGGCGGATCACAGATCCGAGGAGATTCCCGCTCCTCCACAGCGGGCGCCGGAGCTCGGCCGCCGCGACGCCCATCCCGCCGCTCCCGCCGGCTCCGGGGGGATGGCGAGCACGGGGGCAGGAGCGGCGGCCGCGTTCGGGCCCCTCCTGGCCAGGCTGAGGGGCCGCGGGCCAGGCACAGCGCGGGGCCAAGGCCAGGCCTAGAGCCGGGCCTAGGGCTGGGCCTAGGGCGCGCGGAAGGCGCCGGTGGCAGCGCCCGCCGCCGCGTTGGCCGCCGCCGTGCGCACCGCCTGGTTGGAGAAGACGCCGGCAGCAAACTCCTCCTGCGCCTTCTGGAAGCTGGCGCCCGTGCGGCGGTACAGCGAGTGGATCTGCGGAGAGCGGCGGCCTCAGGGCCCCGCCGCGGCCCCCGGTTCCGGCCCCGCGGCGCCGGGCGCCTCCCTCACCTTCTTGAGCATGACGATGCCCAGCACGGCCACGGCCGTGAAGAACACGGACACGAGGACCATCATGACGCCCACGGCCGTGTTCTTCCTCAGCGCGATGAAGGTCAAGACCCAACCGCTGCGGCACGAGAGGCGGTTGCCCCCGCGAGCCGCTTCCCGCCGCCGGCCGGTCCCCACGGTGCCCACGGCCGACCCGGCTCCTACCTGAAGCCCCAGTTGGGGATGCCGATGGCCTCCAGCACGTACACGACGTTCTGGGCAAAGAAGACGAAGAAGAAGACAAAGAAGTTGAAGGAACTGTCGCTCCTGGCGGGAAGAGAGAGGGGCSGTCAGGCCGGCTCTGCCGGAGGGGACGGCGCCGGAGCCTCGGTCGCGGCCCGGCACGGGCAGGACGCGGTGCCCGGTTCCCACCTGAAGGCCCTGTACATGGGCCGGTACCAGCACACGAAGGAGCAGGGCGTGTAGAGCAGAGCCCAGAGAATGGAGAGGCCGAAGCCGGAGCCGTGGGAGGGCTCCACGCAGAACCAGGCCAGCGAGGTGAGGAAGTTGAGGAAGAGCGCGATGGTGCTGGCTGCGGCGGCGGGCGTCAGGCGGCGCGGGCGGCACCGGCGCCCCCGGCGCCCCCCGCCCGGCGCTCACCCATCCACAGGTAGTACATGGTGGTCACCGTCTTCTGGAAGTCGGCGGGAATCTCCACGGGGATGTCCTGGTAGAAACAGGGCTTCACGGGGCAGAAGGACGGCAGGGGCGGCCAGTTGTTGAGCCTCGCTGCGGGGGAGAGGGCGCTGAGCGGGAGGCCGGTGCCGCCGTCGCCGCCGCCGCGTGCCGGTGCTCACCGGCGCCGGAGCCGAGCGCGGCGCTCTGCAGCTCCCGCTCGCGCCGGTCCAGCTCCTCGGCCTTGCGGTTGAGCTCCTCCTGGCGCCGCAGCAGCTCGGCCGTGGCGGCTGCCGCCGAGGCCTGTGGGGCGGGCGCGTGAGCCGGTGCTGCCGCCGGCGGCGCCGCGCTGCCGCCCGCCGCTCCCGGTACCTGCGTGCCGTAGGAGCCGTAGTTCTTGGGCTCGGCGGGGCCCGGCCGCCGCGGGGGCGGCGCGGCGGCCGGGGGCGGCTGGTACGGCGGGACCGGCTGCAAGGGGGAAGCGGCGATGAGGGGCTGCACCGGTGCTGGTGCCCGGTGCCCGGTGCCGGTGCCGCCTTACCCCGGGGCCCTCGAAGGGGTTGTACACGTCCAGCGTCGCATACTCGGGGCCGGCCCGATGCTGCGCCACGGCGGGGTCCTGCGGGGCAGACGGTGGGAGATGAGGGGGGACCAGGCGCGGGACATGGACCGGGGACAGGGACGGGGAGCGGGGACGGAACGAGACAAGGACAGGAGGCGGGACAGGCAGCGGCAGGGCTGGACTAGGCCGCGCCGCCGCCGCCGCGCACCTGGAACGGGTTACCGGGATCGGCCATGGCGGCGCCGCTCCGCCGCCGCCGCCGCGCCGCCGCCGATTGGCTGCCGCCGCCGCGCCGCCGCCGATTGGCCGCCGCCGATTGGCCGCCGCCGTAGCGACGTCACGGGCGGCCCCCGCGGCGCGAGGGAAGCCCCCCGCCGCAGGGGGTGCTGTGCGCACGCGCGCGCGGGGAGGGTGGGCACGTGACGCGTGCCCGTAGCCCCGCCCAACGTCACGTGCGGGCTCCGCCCTTCCCGCCCCGCCTACTCGCCCCGCTGCGAGCGCGCGGTGCACGCCGGGAAACGCAGCCCCACCCTGCTTCCAAACGCGCGGTGCACGCCGGGAGCGCGTCCCCATGGCAACGCGGCCCAGTGCGGCCTAGGCCTCGCCGCCGCCCCTCGCAAGCGCCGGCCGGTACCGGGGCCGGAGCGGCCGGTCAGCGGCGACACCGCGCGGCGCCCGCTCTCCCCTTGAAGGCCGCCAGTTGCTGCCGGTCAACCTGGCTCTGCCGAGGGAACAGGGGGCAGGGTGAGCAGCGAGGACCCGTCATTACCGGAAGGGGCCTCCCSCCGCTGCCGGCCCCTCACCGCCGGGAGCCGGTACTTCTCCCGCAGGCGGCTCCGCAGCTCCGCGCGCTCGGCCTTCCTTGCGGCGTAGAACTCGTCCCGCCTCTGCCTGGAAGGGCGACGGGCCGCTCGGAGCACAGCTCCCGGTGCCCGCCGGYGCCTGCCGCGGTCCTCACTTCTCCTCCAGGCTTCTCTGCTCGTGCGGCTGCTCCCCCGCGCCCAGCTCGGGACGGGCCGCGTCCTCCAGGAGAACGGCGGAGCCGCAGCAGAGCAGCTGCTGCAGCGGGACCCCCGCGAGCCACTTCAGCGCCGCCTCCATGGACCTGAGGACGGGACAAGTTGGGCTCCTAGAGGCCCTGGCCCGGAAAAGGCAGGAGCAGCAGCAGCTGTGGGAGCGAAACGCTGCCTCCCACCACCCCTGAAGCATCCACTGGGCATTGCAGGGATTTCTCTGCCTCTGCTCTGGCACGAGAAGCAGCTTGGGCAGTTCTTTTTTGCATCTCTTGGCCCCATTATTTAGAGGATTTAGCCGATTCCGCCCACTCCCAGCCATGCTGACCCCCCCAGCTCCTCAGCATCCCCAGGACCGCCACGCCAGGACAGTCTCTCCCTGCTTATCTAGATCCCAGCTCCCAGGACTTAGCAGCAATTGTGCCTCTCTCACAGAAAAACCTTCTTTAGCCCCGAATAGAGATTTATGATGTCACATGCACCCAAATTTACTCACTTCCACTTCAGCCGGGCCAGCTGGCGCCTCAAGCCACACTCAACGCCGGGTCCTTGAAGGCTGCCAGTTCAGATTTKGGACACCAGGATGCTGTTCCTCCTTGTAACGCCCGAGGGGCCCAACCCCAGGCAAGTTACTTGCTCAACCCGCTCACCCGGGGGCTGGCGGCAGCTGCTCTTCCCTCCGCTCCCGCGGCCACGTCGCCTTCCTGGGAGCCGCGCTGCCCGCCCGAGCAATAGGGCAGATTAAAGCTGCAGCCTAAGCTCTTTACAGTCAGATCATAAGCACATGAAAATGACTCAATGTCACCCCGGGGGTCTCACCCCCCGCCCAGGTGAAGCTGCTCTCGTCCTTTATCCCTCGGGGCGAGGGCGGCAGATGGTGCAGGCGCCCGGCGCTAAGCTGCTCCGCGCACGTCCGCTGCCGGCCCCAAGGAGACTCTTCCCGGTGGGCGCTGGCCGTGCTGCTCCCGGAAAGTCGGCCGCTTGCTCGGCTGCTCCGTGGGAGCAGAGTCCAAAGCAGGGCCGCAGCCCCAGCTGGGAGGAGCGCAAAGCTGCAGGCGGCCGTTTGGGGCCGCTGGAAGAGCCTGTCGGGCAGCTGACTCCAGACGTTCCTCAGAGCTGATGCAGCCACGTGGCCCTCGGCTTCCCAAGAGCCGCCCGCAGCCGCTCTCATCCTCCTGACGCCCCCCTGCTCTTCCTTTGCCACCAGCTGGACGTGCTGCAGGTTTCCYATCTTCCCACCTCTGCCTACACACAGCAAAACCTGCTGGCCCTGCATGTATCCCAGATGTAGCTGCAACCCTGGGAGCCAAGGGCAGCTCCGAGGAGGCGCCGCGGGATGGGTACAGGCGGATAGAGCAGGTTTTGCCAGCGAGGGGCCGGGAAGCAGCTTCCTTCCTGCTCCTCCCAGCGCCCRGCTGAGCAGAGCGGCGCGTGGCAGCCAGCGCGGGGCTGGGGCTGCCTCCCCTTCCCGAGGGACCTGCAACAGGCGGGTGCCAGCTGGGCGCCCGGGGCACCAGAGCCCAGCCCAGCGAGGAGGCTAAAACAGCCTCCACGGACCAAAGGTTTATTCACTTCATATTTATTTTTCACAAAGACTGTACAAAATTCTTATAAAACTCTGGTGTGGGGATGGGCTATGACATTGATCCAAAAAATAATTCCCATGCAGTCCCACCAGTTCCATAACTTACAAGGAAAGAGAGAAGCTACAGAGAGCCGAATCCTGGAGTATTTACACCGAGGCGGTGGCGGCAGGAGCGAACCAGAGACAAAGCAACACGTGAACAGAGGTATTTACAGCATGGACACACGAGGCCCCCTYGCCCGGGGAGAATGGCAGCAGCAACAGCAGAAGGTTGGCCCTTTGGTGCTCAGAGGCCRATATAGAATATGGGCTATTTACAGTATCTCACATATTAACAGCTTTACAAACATGTCCAGGGAATTCTTTTATGTATATATATATATATATAAAAAAAGAAAAAAAAAAAAAAAAAAAAAAGCACCAAGTGTCTGAATAGAAATCACACAGGCCTCCACGGGGGCTAGAATCTGAGGGCAGGCTGGCACCTGTGGCGTCACCGGCTGATGTCCCGGCTAGAGTCCCACATTTTTGTGCTTGGTTCCACTTCCAGCATGTCGAAGAAGGGGTGCTTGAGGGCCTCGGCCAGGGTAATGCGCTTGGACGGCTCGTACTCCAGCATGCACTCAATGAGGTCGAAGAGGCGGTGATGGTCCTCGGCCTCCGAGGTGAGGTATCTCTGGGGGAGACGGAGGGAAGCGGTCGGGGTGAACGGCTGAGCTAGGAGAGGGGGATTTGCCTAGACCCTCGCTGCTCCTAGYCCTGGGAGCACTGCAACAAGTGCTGAACCCCCTTTCCACATCCCGCCCTCCCTCCCAAGCACTTCAAGCCTCCTCCTGCCCTTCAGATTGAGCTCAGGCTGCTGCCACCTTCCCAGTTTACATCAGACCTCTAGGAAACACCGTTCTGAACCTCTTCGCAGCCCACGCCAACCACTGCAGAACCGGGGCTGGTGCCTGGGCAAGGAGGAAAGCGGGCGCTCCTGCCCACCCTGCCTTACCCGCAGCGGCTTGCAGTTTTCCCTGACGTAGCGGCCCGCGGAGGTGTTCTCATCCCAGTCCAGGCGGCCGTGGTAGAAATATTTCTGTTTCCTGCCAACGCAATGAGAGGTGGCAACAGGTTATAGCAGAGAGGATGGAACACAAAGCAGCTCGGCGTGACAGCCCCGTTCCGCAGTAGCCTGGATGACTCCAGAGGCTGCTTCCAAGCTTGTGCCCTCCAAAGAGGACCACTATTTCCAGTAGGAAGCTAGGAAGAGCCGGTAAGCCTGCAGTGCCCAGCCAAGCCTTGCTCACCTCGTCTTCCGGATCATCCGAGAAGGAATTGGCCCCAAGATCCTCTCCATCATGGCCAAGTGCTCCCGGTTGTCATGTGTCTGAGGAAAATAAATGCAAAGGAGGGGCATGGGACAGGTTTCCTTAGTTTTACTCTCCAGCCCCAGGTTTTCCCCCGTTTCAGGATCCCTTGCTGGCCAGCGCTGGGGCATCACTGCCAAACTGCAGGGATGGAGGGGTCTCCAGGGGGTCCCGGGGGCTCCTGGCTGTACTGGAGACAGCCGGGATTCCTCTTCCACCAGCTGTGAGGTGGCCACGCAGCGCCCGGTTCTCACCTGGAACAGGGTGAAACCCACATAATACTCAAAGATGATGCAGCCGATGCTCCACACGTCACAGGGCTGGCTCCAGCCAAGCTCTAAAAGACAAAGGCGTTTTAAAGAAAGGATCAGTTACCGCCCTGGCTTCCCCATTCCTCCCCCTTGTAAAAAGCAAACAAGCAGCTGAAAAAAAAGACTTGCTCCGACGCGAGGCGGCAGCGCACAGCCCAGCTGCCTACGATGCCAAGGCGCTGAGTTACAGGTCTTTGGCACTCCCACAAAATGACACCGTCGAGCGCGTTCCCGTACAGCCCTTCTCACCCGCACAGGGAGCCCAGACACCTACTGAATGACGCGGGGCAACTGCTKCTCAACCCGCAGGCCGTGCCCGATGGCCTCGGGGCGAACGCCRGCCCCCACTGGCAGCCCAGGCCCGTGGTACCTACCCAGGATGACTTCTGGGGCCCGGTAATGCCTGGTCGACACAATCGTGCTGTGATGCTCATGATCAAAGGTGGCACTGCCGAAGTCCACCACTCTGATGGCTGTGCTCTTCACACTCCGTTCATCTCGCTTCTTTGAGAGGGAAGGTGATACCAGTTACTGAGGGGTTTCACCGGGCGGGCTAAGCACGAGGGGACAAAGGAGGGCTCTGCTTTGGAGGGCACCTTCAGGGCTGGCACCCGCTCCTGTACGCGGCCCTGTGCCCAAAGCCACTCACACCATCACCCCGAGGTCTCTACAGCTCAGCTAGCGACCGCACAGGCAGCTCGCGCAGTGGGGACGCCGAACCAACGGCTGGACATAATCGCTCCAACCCTGCGTCTCCCAGGGCCACCTTGTGACTGCACCCATGCGCTGCTGAGGTCAGGGACCCCAAACCACCCACGGCTCCAAAACGCAGGAGTTTTGTTACCTTCTCCAGGTTGTAGGTGAGCTCGTAGTCCGAGTTCACAAAGAGGATGTTCTCAGGCTTGAGGTCAGTGTGAGTGAGTTTATTGTCATGCAGAACTGAGGAGGCAAGAAGAGGTAGGGTCAAGGGCTGCAAGCAAAGCGGGGCTGCGCACACCCAGCCCCACTCACTTCGCTCCCATTGGTACCACTTTAGCCCCACATCTTTGGATGGGTGGAAAAAGGGAAGCCAGCCAAGGCCCAGATGTTTAGACAGGAGCATGAGGACTGGTGCAATCGGGTCAAGAACAAGGAAGGCCCGGGAGCCGCGTGGACACCAAAGTCATGGAGCAGCGGAGGGAACTTACACTTCACAGCCTGGCACACCTGGAAGGCCATGTGCCGCACTTGGTGGATGGGATAAGGCAGGTAGTTGTTGTCCTTCAGGAAATCGAAGGTGCTGAGCCCCAGCAGCTCAAAGGAGATGCACATGTGGCCGTGGTAGTCAAACCAGTCAAACATCCGGACACAGAGACTGAGAGAAAGAAATTCCAATGAGAGGCAGATCCGCACCGGCGCTCCGAGTGCTGTGAGCCCTGCACCCGGCTTGGGCTTCCCTGGTTCACACCCCACAGCAAGCCAACGCGCCCCCAAAACCAGCTGTGACGAAGGATCCTCTCCTCCACCCTCGCGACGGCGCCAGGAGCCCTTTCCTCCCCCGTGGGCCCACAGGACACACTCACTTCTTGTTCTCAGGATCCTTCTCGTTGATTTTCTCCAACACGTTGATTTCCAGCCGGGCAGCCTCTTTGTACTTCTCCACGTTCTTGATGATCTTGAGCGCAACGCGTGCGGCACCCCTGGGCAGACGCAGGAGGGGAGCACAAGATGAGCGCGCAGCAGAGAGTCACTTCCACCCACGTTCCCCYACTAAACAAGAAAATCTACTTCAAGCCGCGCCGGTCCCTTGCTCGCCCCACGCGAGCAGGCGTACCTGCGGTGATCGACGCACTGCACCACTCTGCCAAACGTGCCTTCCCCTAAGGTGCTAATAATCTCATCTGGGAGGGAGAGAGAGCAAGAGAAAGGCCCATGAGAGGCTGCGCACGACCTGGCTGCAGCGCGTACACGAGGCAGAGGAGAATGCATCGCAGTGCAGCACCTAACCTGCACACAGCTCGGGAGAGCGGAGCAGCGGAAGGCTGGCACCGGCTGCGCAAGGCAGCTGCCCTACGTCCCTGCCACTTCAGTAACAATGCAAAATATAAACGTAGCTTTAACAAAAGGGGAAGGAAAAGGAGAGGGTTTCTCTTTAATAAACAATGAAAATAAAATGGAACAGAAAGRTAAGACAGATCTGCGACTGCGATGGGAGCTTAACTAGAGAGCTAAATTATGTTACGATTTGGCTGTACATCTTTCTTGTAGCCAGTCGCCGACGCGATAGATCAGATGCCCCTCGTCGTCGTCCTCCACACTCTTGGCCCTTCTGCTGCTCTGTCGACTCCGCTGCTGGCCCAGGCAGACCGGGAATTCATCATTCACCAATCAGATTTTCAAACCAGCGCAGCAGCCAGCGTCACGCATTGGGTGGTTTGGAAATTCACATGGTTGTTTGAGGAGGGGTTGCAGGAGGAGATTCCCAGCCAATTCATACGGCACAGAGGAATATATAACGATAGGGATATTGCAAGGGAACATGTCAAGATACAACACACTAGCTCAAGAAAGAAAAAAAAAAAAAACAGTTTGCTTTTCGTTGTAGCAAAAAGAAAAAAAAGAAAAGAAAAATAAAAGAAAAATAAAAAGCTACAAACAGCCCCACCCGAACCAGTGTGAGAGCAGAGATGGCCAGAACAGGGGCCGGAACAGGGGCCGAGCTGCTCCTGCTGCTAACGGGGGCTCGGGGAGGAAGGGCAGCTCCGCGCTGCAGCCAGGGAGCCCCGGGCGGGCTCCCCCGTCCCGCTCCACAACCGCCCGCTGTGGCTTCCCCCGGCCCCGAGGCTCGCGGGAAGACGGACCGAGAGATTTTGGAAGCAACTCCTGGCACAAGGATCCATCGAGAAGCAGAGAGAGCTCCCAGGCTGCCTGGGGACAGACGTGACCTTCCTTCCTAGGCCCTCCCCCAGAGAAGCTGCTCCTGGAAGGGCAACTTCCAGGAGAGAAGCAGAGGCCCAACAGGGAACAGCGTGAGATGAGTCAGGTAAGAGACTTATGCCAGAGAAGAGAAAACTCCTGCCTTTGCTTTGCCACTAAAGTCCCCCCTGCTCGGGAGCACCAGGAGCGGCCTTGGAACCTGATCCCCCACTCCCGGCCCCGGAGGCAGCGCGGGCGAAGCGGACGGCACCAAAAGCTCCACGCGCCGAGCGCACCGCGTGCCTGGGGGCTCGCCGAACGGCAGCGAGAAGAGCACAAGAGCCAGAAGAGGAAGGCAGGGCCGCCACGGCCAGTGGGGCCGGCCGCCCCGCGGCACCCCAGGTGAGCCGGGCCCACGCGGGGGATCCTGCTCCGACGCGGACACCGACCCGCCGCCACGCGGGGCGGCCGCCCCGCAACAGGGACGCGCAGCCCCCCCCGGGGGTCCTGCCCTCCTGCCGCGGGCTCCGGCAGCGCGAAAACGGCCCTCGGCGGGGACGGAGGAGCCGYGGGCTGCAAGGGACGGGCCGCCTCGCCGGGCACACGTGCCCTCCCTTCACCGGTCACCGAGACGGGGCCGGTGCCCTGCAGCGGCGCCGGAGAGACACCCGGGAGGCCGCTCCGCGGCTCCGCTCCGAGCGCGCCACAGAAAGGGGGTTTTCTACTCACCCAGCTCGCCACCTGCGAGAGAAAGGTTAGCGGGCGGCCCAGCACAGCGGGTACTCACCGATGAGGAGCGGCTAAAGGACCGGCTGCGGCGCCGCCTCCGCCTGTGCTTACGCCGGCTGCTTTTGCAGCTGCGGTAGCTGCCGTCGCGGTCGCGGGAGCGGCGGTACTCGTACGAGTGGCGGTACTCGGGCTCGTAGTAGGCCTCGCCGCGCTCGCGGCTGTAGTCGTTGCGCCGGTAGCCGTCGCAGTAGCGCCGCTCGTAGGCCCTCCTGTCCGCCGAGTGGTCGTCGTAGCTGACGGATGGAAGGAGGGGGGTTGTGGCGGGCACGGTGCGGGCGCCGGGGCCGCGCGGGCGCCGCCGGCGGGCACTCACCTCCGCGAGCGGACGTGGTAGCTGTCGTCCCGGCGGTGCCGGCGGTCGCGCTCGCTGCTGCTCGACCGGGAGCGCGTCCGCCGCCGCTTGTGCTTGCGGCCCCGGTAGCGCTCGTGGTAGCTGCCGCGGCTGCTGCGCTCCGACGAGCGGTACCGCCGCGAGTGGGGCATCTGCGGGAGCGGCGCCCGTCACCGCGCCGGCCCCGCGACGCGCCGGAACGGCCGCCGCGAACGGGCAGGGCAGCGGGGGAAGGGCGGCGGGAGGCCCGGCCGGGGCGGGGGGTAACGGAGCCCCCGGAGCCGCCCGCGGGGACCCTGCGGGGCGGGGACACTCCGGGAGGGGGACCCT